GGCATTGTTAAATGTGTTTTAAATTCGGACAGGATCTTAAAACTAATTACTGCACAGTCTAATCTCATAGTATCTCAGTGACATCAGACTACCGGCTTGTAAGCGAGCTCCTTTTTACAGCCTGCAAAAGCTATCGTGTACAAAAAAAATGGTTAAGTAGGCAGGATGGATTTTTCTTATTGATTGTCAATACTCTCATAAATTCAGATATATTTTTAACGAAAGTAGTGGTTTTAGCAGTAATACTATTCTTGGTGTTGACGGAGGAAGAATAGGGATGAACAGAAACACACCCTAGATGTGTATTACCTTACCCTAGTGTTTAAGTTGTCATATCGACTTAAATGCATAAAATATCCCTACTGTACACTTAGGAGCCGTGCATCCGAGAACGAAAGTGTGTATTAATCGAGAGGATTTTGCCGCTGTTCTAGTCCAAAAGACGGAAGGGATTCGTAATCTACCTTTCAGCTTTTGCATGTATGCATTTGAAGGAGGCTTTAGAGATCAAAATCAGCATATGGAATACGTACGGAGGAAAAATCTGATGGTATTGTTGGTTGCAGGTAACTACACTAAAGTTTAAATCCTCTTTCAGCAAATAAAATTATCCCATAGGAAGCAGTGGTTTCAATCAGTACTGAGGCATATTGCTGTTACAAATGACTTCTTATTACTAGAACTAAATTTTAAACGCATAATTTCTTTCTTTAATTTTCAGTTCACTTGTTTCGCAACCGAACCAGATTTTTTTGAGGGCGTCATGTGTTCCGAAGGCTGTATAAGTAGCCCCTGTCCGACGCCGATTAAACCATCAACATATTTACAAGTATTATAAGTCGTTCTGCAAATACTCCCATGCTTAATTTAAGAAGTCAAGTTGGCTAACATTTGTTTTCAGCAAATTATCCTTAGGCCAAAACATTTGCCGGGTAATGAAAATCTTACAGTTGGACAGGGTTAAATAGTGTAGTCTAATCATACTATTTACCCCTGTCCAACTGTACAGTTTTGCTACCCTGCAAATGTTTTGGTCTGATGATGGTTTGCTGAAAACACATATTATAAGTGGATTAGCTGGACACTTGAAATTTATTGGCCTAATCAAAATAGCGAATCTAATGCAGGTGCTGACAAAGCAATTATGTCAGCGGAAGAGGGGGATTACTTCAGTTGAGAATGGGCCCCAAGGCAGAACAGAACCAGTGAGTTTTGTTAAGCAATCTGTCAACGTCAAGCAACAGATGCCGACATCTCCCAGTCTAAACTGGCATAACAACGAGCTTGTGGCTCAGTGGTTACTGTGTTCGAAAAGGTTGAGAGTTCGAGCCTCGGGTGGTGTGCAACTTAGAGTTGGGTATAACGGCTGATGAAGGCTAATGAGACAGAAACGGCTAGTCCAGTAGCCATCTGTCTAGCCGCTCTGCGGCAGCTAGCGGAGCTCGCTAATGAGAGCCAAGGTACAGCGAGACGAGTGAGTTCCGTTAGCGATCGGTGAACTTCCATCGACGAGTATCATGTTATCATTCAACGCGGGTAATGAAACCTCGGCAAGTAACGACTCGGGAACTATAGCTAGCTGTGATTGCGGGAGTTACTAGCGATAGAACGCATGTGGTCGAATGACAACTAAACCCTATAAAAACTAAAATCTGCCCTCAGTTGTGAGTGCATCCGATAATGGATTCAAATGAGCATTTGAAACGTCCGGCTAATAAACTTGCTGTTCAGGCAATCACATCTTTTCTTCTGAACTGTTGCTTGAAGCTCGCTTTTTTGCTCCTATCAGTCCTTTGGACGCACTCGGCAAGCAATTAATAGAGAGTACGTGATACGGGACGCAGGTAGATGTTGAAATGAGAGGGGAGGAAGAGAAATGGATGGAATAAAGAATGAAGGAATGAAAGAAAGAAATGAATGAATCAGAAGACTGACCTCAAATTCCAGACCACAGTCGTAGATACAGCTAACCAGTCGACACTGACAGTCCTCCAGATGTTCGCTCAACTCACTAGCCAGGCCGGTCCAAGTGCAGCCCTGCTCGAAGTAGTTGCACTTCACGCCCAGATGATCCAGTTCACGCTGCATCTGCTTATCCACGGTAACCTTGCTGCGCTCCAGCGCCGCACCGTCCACCGGACAGCGTCCTGTCGACCTGCAAATGAGAAAGTGAATGAGGCCAAATTAGAAAGTTCCCAGCCACTCTCTAGTTCGTTCCCACTGGCACTGGCCGCATGCGAACTAGGTAACAAGACCCCCATACCGCTCAAATAATTGTGGCTATTTGAGGGCTGTTTCAGTTTCACATTTCATATTTCTTACTGGCTGTGTTTCCCATTGGCTACTGACTGGTTCTGATCTACTTACATGCAGTTTATTCAGTTAACTCTAATTTTTCCTAAGTTGCTTTTTGTTGATGACCTACCCAGAAGAGAATGAGGCCAAATTAGGAAGTTCGCGTCCGCTCTCCCCATAGTTCCTTCCTACTGTCACTGGTAGCAGGTGAATCACAAATAGGGCTGACTTGACGAGATCGCATGAAGGCTTCAGATCCCCGTTAAAGTTCATGGGTTCATTTAGGACGAGCAAGTTAACTTGGAGTGTGTCCTTAAGCGAA